TGTGAGTTCTGTCAGCACAGGGGCGGAAACCCACTAAATAGGCAATCAGAAGCGCGGTTATATTGAAAAATACGATAACATAATTTATACATTAAGTTCGGCACATGTGAAGTACGACGTATGAATCGAAGTCGACCTTTTGCCGTTCTATTTGACAAGCTCAGTCGAATAGAACAGCAGAGTCGACCCAGATACAAAAGTGTCGTTCCTAATTGATTCATACGTCGAACTTTACATGTGCTGGGCCTAATAATTAGGTTCGGCACATGTAAAGTTCCACGTTTGAACCGGGCCTTAAAGGCCATTTGGAGCCAGGTCTTTAAATCAAGTACAGCTGCCTGTCGTCATCAGGCAATAATTTGGTCGGCGCATACTTTTATTTTATGAAAGGAAAAACACCCCGTCGAGAGTTCCTTTTAACAAATACTGCTGATTGTTTTCTTTAATTCTACCTCAAAAGATTTTACTCTCATTTATTTTGAGCTTTTGATAATTCTGAACGCCTCCTCATTATTTTCATTGTTTAATTAAAAACGGTTGACTTCAGAACATTTTTAATCACTTTAGTATTTCTGGCGGCATCCATTTTTAATTTTAACAAAAACTTTTTCAGATTGAAATGAGCGCCATCGACTACTGTCAGTAAAATGAGGGCCGGCTACAAATATCAGTGGCTTCATGTGAAGGGACTGGTTCACTATAATGCGCATGTGTGAGTTCTGTCAGCAGCTGATTGTTTTTAAACCAATCCGAAGCGAGTTAGATGCACGCAAGTAAATTTACAAAATTCAAATTCATTGTTCGCGACGCGAGAGTATTTCCGGGCATTTGGTTTGATTTTTATATCCCCATAATTCAAGTTTATTCTTTGCTCCTCCTCAGATATATGTTGCAGCCGATAAGAATAAGATTTACAGCCCTGTCCTGCTTTGAAACCAACATTTAACAACGTGTATTTTTACGAGGTCGTACCCACGCTAACAAAGCAGTCACCGATCGGCAAACAAAATATATCAACAAACATTTTATTACTGTTCTCTCAGTTCGCCTTATATAAACCCAGACATACCTACAAATAGCGCCTGACCGGTGACAAAAACACACAACGTATGAGTATAAAGATTATCCTTAATTGAGCATAAATTTCAATTGCTTATCAGCAAATAAACAAATTCATTCGCGTTGCATCGGGTCAGTGTTCCGCAAAACAGTTGTTATCAAGTAAAACACATAAAGAAACTAGATTAAAAACAGTATATTCTGGCAATAATTTATTTTAAAAACATCAATTCTTAAACATATACGATCGTAAAGCAAATATAAAAGGAACATTTCAAGTGTACCAGATCGGTGAAGATTGTGCGGCCTGTTGTGGTATAACTACAGGTCGGAGTCATAAATCAAATCAAAGTTGAACGAACTCATGCCTTTAACCACTTTCCAAGTGTCGTGTATTCTTTTCGCAAGCCACACACTACTCCTAGAACCACACCAGATCGATCGGCTAAGCTTCTCTATCTCCAAAGACTCTTGAGAACGTCCTGTTGCCGGACGGCCACTATGCTCTTCTGAACCTCCCTGATCAAAACATTATTTTTTGCGTCTTGTTAAAACGTAACCAGTCAAACAACACAACCACACGTTAATCACCACTACCGAAATATAACTAGGCCGGCCAAAGGGACGGATGTCGGAATAAAACGAAGGATTTTCAATGATTGTACCGGTAATGGCGATTTCGAATTTAGTGTTGATCCAACAAATTTATTCTGGAGAGACAAACGGCGCGCATGCGCATAACCGTGATCGCGTCCCTTTAAAACAATATTTTGCTTTACATTTTTTTGCTCGATTAATTTAATTTGGCAAACAAAAATAAAGTTTAATAATTAATTCTCTTCGGCGAAGGACGCTAAGAACCGTTTATAAATCGATATCAGCAAAACGTTTTATCAACAATTTATAGCAAAATTAACATGATTCCGAGGTTTACTAGTAGGGTCGAAATTGAAAATTTTCACGACTCCGTTGTCTCGCAATTCCCAGGGGAGACTGAGCCCCCCCCCCCCCCCCAAAAGAAAAAAAAATTAAACCAGATATAGAAAAACGACAAGAAAGCCCTAGGGTCGTGTAAGAATGTGTCAGAATTTGATTATATCGAACGTGGGCCATTATGTGCTCCATAAATTATTCTAGCGAACGTGTCTCCCATCAGCTCGCACGTAGCTGCAAGCTACCCTCTGCTCTTCGAATGTACGAGATGAAGAGGGATAAGTCATGACAAGTTGAGACCACACTTGCTTTGTGTTTACCTCTCTTGAACTGGGATGGAAAAGAATTTAGGCTTGGCCTGGAAAGTCTTTTTCGAGGGAAGACTTATTAAATATGTAGACTGAGTTTGTACACAATCCCAGTAATGTATAAGAATCCGATGGAAAAAAAAAACGATTCTATCGAAAGAACTGCGAAGGTAAACATTTGATCTTTATCAACATAATTA